TGCTGGGCTTGAAGATTCACAGATGAAGCCAAGCTGTGATTCTAATCTGCTAGTGCCTGGCTTGGGGCCACTTAGCAAGAGGTGTGGGGGCTGTGGGCTTACTCAGGCCAGTTGTTGCTTGTTTTATAGGATTTAGGAAGTTGTGAAGCATGAGCCAAGATCAGCCATTTATATGGAAAATCCACGGTTAATGGTTTGGGTGGGCCCATAAACTGGGTAGGATGGAGTCTCAGGGATCTCCAGGGTGGGTCAGTGTTAGCCAGGTTGATGGAGTCTCAGATATGGCACCCACCTGATCGCTATGTGGCTCTGTGGGAGGAGGGCTCAAAAAGAGGATAATGGCTTCTGCCTGACTTTTTATCTGGGAAAAAGCTGTCCCCCAGCTGCCACTTTGGCACCTCTCTGTATACCTCTGGAGCCTTTCAAGCTGCTATAGCTCAGAGTTACAGCAAGGTGCTAAGCTCAGAGGGAGTGAGTTTGAGTAAGTCCATGTGTCAGTTCTTTAAGGGGAACTGCTTCGATTTTCAAAAGTTTATTCCACCGACTCAATCCCCACTGGTTTTTGCAGTCAGAGGTTATGGGGACTTATCTTCCTGGCACTGGAACCCTAGGCTGGGGGACTTGATGTAGGGCTGGGACTCCTTGCTCCTGAGATATCCCTCATGAATTTTTATCCACCACACATGGATGTGGAACCAGTATGTTCCATGTCTCTGCCCTTCCTACCAGTGTAGATGGATGTGGTTTCTTTAATTACATAGTTGTTGGACTTCCATTCAGCTTGATTTCTCATGGCTCTGAGTGATAGTTGTTCTATATTTTAGTTGTAATTTTGATGTGGTTGTGCAAGGATGCAAGCTACGTTTACCTATCTTGACAAGAGACCAAATCAGTTATTGATATTTTATTTTATTAAATATTTCATTTATTTATTTAGTTTTAGAGGGGAAGGAAGGGTCAGAGGGAGAGAAACATCGATGTGTGAGAGATACATAGATTGGTTGCCTCTTGCACCTCCAACTGGGGACCTAGCCTGCAACCCAGGCATGTGCCCTAGACTGGGAATCGAACTAGCAACCCTATGGTTTGCAGGCTGGTGCTCAATCCACTGAGCCACACCATCCCAGGCTGATATTTTTAAAAGATAAGTAATCTAAAGGATAGAATGCTTGCCAAAGGTATACTTTTGACATCACCTGTATTTAAAAGTATTTTCTCATCCCTGGCTGATGTGGCTTAGTGGATTGAGCGCCAGCCTGCAAACCATAGGGTTGCTAGTTCGATTTCTAGTCTATGGCACATGCCTGAGTTGCAGGCTGGGTGCCCGGTCATGGGGAGCACATGAGAGGCAACTATACATTGATGTTTCTCTCCTTCTCTTTCTCCCTCCTTCCCCTTTCTAAAAATAAATAAATAAAAATTAAAAAAAAAGTATTTTCTCAGTACTAATTTGACATGACTCTTTTGATGTGGAATTTTATATTTAAACTATTTTAAAAAATACATATAGAAAACTACATAAAAGGAGTAGAGAGGCTAATTAAATATTATTAGGCAAACATTCTTGTAACTACCACCTAGGTCAAGAAGTAGAGCTGTGTCCTTCTATTCCCATCTTTTTTTTTCCCCCCAGCTATTCTTTTTTTTCTGGCACCCAAGACACTCCAGGTTCATCCGGTAATTTCTTTACCCTACCCACGGAATAAGCTACTTGTCCAAAGAACTCTGGCTCATTTGATTAAAAAAAAAAAAGAATGTTTACATACCATATGATCTCACTTATATGTGGAATCTAATGAACAAAATAAACTGACGAACAAAATAGGAACAGAGCCATGGATACACGGAATAGACTGACAGCTGTCAGAGGGGAGAGGGGAGGGGGACTGAATGAAAGGTGAAGGGATCAGCCAGAGAACATATATGTATGACCCACAGACACAGAAAACAGTGTAGTGGCCAGAGGGGAGGTGCAGTGGGGGCTGAGAGTAGGGGGGCAAAGGGGAGAAAATAGGGACATCTGCAATAGTGTCAACAATAAAAATAAAGAAAAAAAATAAAATGGGATTACTGGATCTGCACTCCCTTCCTCCAAAAAAGTATTTACAGACTGAGATCTGGGTGACAATTGTGCTAATCATTACTGGAGTATCATTGTTTCTATGCTTTCTCAAAGAAGAAAATCTTTTTAAAAATGTTTTAACATACAAAGAATATAATAAGTCTTTTTAGAGTTTTAGAGACATAGGTAATTTGGAGAGTTATGGTGAAAGACCACAACTATGTAAAAATTTACAATAGAAACTAACTGATGAATATTATTAAATGGGATATCAATATGTGAGGAACTAAGCCCTAGCTGGTGTGGCACAGTGGATTGAGTGCTGGCCTGTGAACTAAAGGTCACTGGTTCGATTCCTAGTATGGGGCTCATACCTGGGTTGTGGGTCACATCCCCAGCAGGGGGTGTGCAAAATGCAACTACATGTTGATGTTTCTTCCCCTCTCTTCCTTCTTCTCCTTCCATCTCTAAAAATAAATAAATAAATAAATAAATAAATAAATAAATAAAATCTAGAAAAAAATGTGTGAGGAGCTAATATTACATCCCCCCTAAATTTTAGTATAGACCCTACCCCCACTGAAGTTTTGCCTTTATTTGTAGCAGCAGTTAACAGGCACATTTCCAAATCATTTTCAGCCCTTTGGGAGTTTTGTCCATGTTGATTGGTAGTGAGGAATGTAGAGCCTCAAAATTCAAATGTGTTTAAAACTTTTTAATGTCCTCAATGTCCCAACTGAAAGCCTGTTTAGGGGCCATTTCTACAGAAAATAAGGTATGGGAGCAAATAAGCATGGAAATTATCCTATTGTATGCAGTCAAGATGTGAACTATTTTTATAACAAATTATTATATCCTATTGACTTTGGAATGTGATAATTTGAGTTTTTAATTGTAATTAAACTTTGAATTTTCTATTTTATGTTAAAATTTTATTTATATAACAAACAAGATGACTTCTGTTAAAGGTTCTATTTCATTTTCGGAATAGTTTCTGTTTTTATTTTATTCATGGATACAATGCCTTATCTTTCTAAAAATATTAATAATACTTTTTGAAGATTTCTTTTGTTCCCTGGGTTGGTTTATTAGTTTTAGCTCTTAAGTATTAAGTTAAAGGATTTCATCAAGTGTTTGGTGGTCTTTAGTTATTCTTTTATATTTGAATAAGGCTGATTAGAAACAATGAGTGCATGCAAGGGCTTGTTAATTGGTAGTTTTCACTGAAGAGCCAGTGGGGAGGTTAGTGACCTGTCATTTCTTTGAGAACTGCTTAAATGTGGTTATAGCCTGGTCTTTTTCTTAGGGCAGTCAGCTTCCCTAGAGATTAATTTTCCAGTTTTTTTTTTTTTTTTCACCCCTTGAGGTGTATATATCCCTGGCTGCTTCAGGTTTAGGAGAAAAATGAGAGACCTCAGAGCCTCATTGTTCTGTATATATACCTCACAAAAATTAAAAACAATTTAACAAATTTTTGGTAAAATACAGATAAAACTTACCATTTAATCCTTTACAAGCATACAGTTCAGTGGCATTAAATACGTTCACGTTATTGTGCAACCAATCTCCAGAACTCTTTTCACATTACAAAACTGAAACTTTATACCCACTAAACAATAATTTCCCTTTGCTCATTTCCTCCAGCCTCTGGCAACTACCATTCCACTTTCTCTGTGATTTTGACTACCTTAAGTATCTCATATAAGTAGAATCATTTATTATTATTATTATTATTATTATTATGGCCCTGGCTTCTTTCACTTAGCATAATGTCAAGTTTCATTCACATTGTTGCATTGTCCGAATTTCTTTTCTTTTTAAGGCTGAATAATATTCCATTGCATGTATATATTATATTTTGTTTATCCTTCTTTCATGGACGGACACTTGGGTTGCTTTTACCTTTTGGCAATTATGAATAATGCTGCTATGAATATGGGTGTACAAATATCTTTTCCAGACCCTGCTTTCAATTCTATATCCAGATGCAGAATTACTGTATTATACGGTAGCTCTATTTTTAACTTTTTGTGGATGTATACATACTTTAATATAACCTCCCCTCATTGAGCTTTACACCACATCTGGTGCCCTGAGTGTGGTTTTCCACTTCACGTCCCGTACTCCCCAAAGCCCTCTTCTGTAGGGGACGGGCAGTGGTTGGGGGTAGTCACGTGGAGTTGGAAAGGGAATTTGAAGGTCCAAACTCCACGTGAATTTTGAACTTAATCTCCGTTTCCCATGCCACAGCTCTGTCCCCACCTCCATCCACTGCATACCTGTGAATCCTCTAGGTAAATGTGCCAAAAAGCCATCCATTGAAAGCCAATCCACTTAAATAGCCAACAACGTGTCTTTTAATTAGTTATTTTTAGTTATCATTTTGTTTTCATAATAGCATTTTAAGGCAAATTCAGTATGACTCTGCCCCAGTTACCTGCAGCATGCAGAGTCTGAGAAGCCAGAAAAAAGGGAAAACCTTTTACTCCTAGGGAGGTACCCTGTAGCGGATAACAATCTCAAATTATGAACTAGCTCTTTGATTTTCGGGTAAATCCTTTGGCTCCCTGGGCCGAAATATGCGAAATGAGGTTTACAATTATAATTCACAGATCGTGTGTGTGCACGTGTGCGGGAGCACACAAGCTTTGCGAAGGTAAATCCAGCGCAGGCGAGAACTGACCTTTAGTGTTAACTAATTCTGCCATCACCATAGCAACAGCAACCAGCGCCGAAACGCTCTTTTAAAGAGCCTCTGTGTTCTTTGAGTCACTCAACCCCGCCTTCTTCCTCAAGTGGTTCCGCCTCCGTTTCCCCGGGACTGCTCCGCTACGCCCCGCGGCATTGAAGTCACCAATCACAGTCCTCTAGTTACTTGTCGTCAAAGGCGCGTGACCGGGGTTCAAAGTTCGGAGGGCAGGCTTCCGGCTTTGCGCATGCGCCGTTGTTCTCTTTTTCCCCCACGTTGTTTCCGCGTCCTCTCCCCCGGCCGGGAGCGTCTCGTGTCTGGAGCGGTCTGGGCTGCCACAGCCTCAGCCTCAGCCTCAGCCTCCGCCGCTGCCTCGGCCTCTGCCGTCGCGATGGGCAAAACTGCAGACTCTCGGGATGCGAGAGCCCGGACCGATCCGGTGCAGAGCTTCAATCGCTGGAAGAAGAAGCACAGCTATAGACAGAGTAAAAAGAAGCAGTTGAGGAAGCAGCTGAAGAAGCCTGAGTGGCAGGTCGAGCGCGAGGTTATCAACCGCCTCTTGCAGAGCTACGAGAAGGTGAGGCCATCCCTGGGGAGGGAGCGCGGGCCAGCGGTTGATGCTCGTGGGGTGGGCCGGCAGCTGGGCTGCGTGTCGCTGCGGTGCTCAGCTGCAGAGGGGAGGGGGCGGACCGGTCACAGGGGACCCGGTCTGGACAGTCAGCAGTAGTCCACTGGGCTGGTGAAGGGAGTGGGGTGACCTACAGGTGGTCTGCCCTGTGCCACAACCCAGGCTTCTAAGAAGTCTTGGCCGCTCTCCTGCTCACCACACTGTTCTTGATAAAAATAGAAATGCAGTGGTACTTAAGGGTAGGGAGATTAATGATTTCAGTAGTATACATAATAATACGACAATAACGGGAATGACACCTGCATTTTAAGCCTCCGCATGTGCTTAATATTACTTGATTTCATCTGAGGTTTTATTCCTATTTTACAGATGAAAAAATTGAAGCTCCAAGAGAATAAGAAACTTGTTCTCCTAAGCTTAGTAGGTGCTGTGGAGTTGGAACCTAGACCTGTGTCTTTCTGATTCCAAAGCCTTTGCTTTTAACCGTTATGCCACTTGCATGCCTGGACATCATCCATGCCCCTTCCTGTGTCTATCTCATTTTCTCTATTTTATGCCCCCATCCAAGAATTGGCATAGAAAAACTGGACTCCTGGTCTATTTTTAGTATGTACTATCCCACCTCGTAGCTGATATTCCTAGATGAGTTTTCCAGTAGTTAGTATTTTGATCTCTTGATCTCTTCCCCGCTCAGGCTCCTTGGGGCTGTCAGTACTTGCATTTTCCTTCCCCCCAGTCCTATGTCTCTTGACCGTCACCCACCTCAGTCAGCCTCTTAGTGATTGCCCCCTTCTAGTGCAGCATAATCAGGGATTTAACACGTGAGACATTTCTGGAATTAAAGTTACTATGTGTTATTCTGGTATAGCTTTTCTTTAAACTCTTAGATCAACAGTAAGGTTAGATAGAGTTTAGAGTTCATTTTGGCTTTTGCCTTATGATGATGATGATGATCTAATCCTAGATTTTGCTCAGAGTGACTTTGGGCAAGTTACTGTGTTGGCTTTCCTCTTTTTGTCTTTAAAAGGTATGATAATATTTACCTTTAAGTTGTGGGTAGTTAGTAAGAATGCATGCAAAGCATTTTGCACAATGACACATAAATATTGCATATATTAGCTGTTAAATTATTACTATTGCTCCTATATACACAGCACTTCAATAAGCCATTGTAAAGTAAGTTATTATTAGATTGTACAGGGTCTGGTAAAAGTAACGCTTGCTTGAGTGTGGTTGGTAGGGTAATAATATGGGTGTAATAATTTATAATTTTAATTTGGACATTTCACCTAAAATGTCACATGGTGTGCTTGAGTGTGAGATTGTTATGTTACAGAATTATATTCTTAATGATTTTGTAATAAAAGATTTTATAATAAAAAAGGAGGTGCTTTTGTGTTGGGCCCTGTATTTTTGACTCTTCATCAAAGACTAGAATTGTTAGGGGGTATAGACTGAGCTCTTGCTTCTTCCCACTTTATTCTTTTCCCTGGTGTAATCCCAAGGTTTATTCACTTGGACCAGTGACTCCTTCTTGTATTCTACCGAGACCTCTTCTGAGTTTGTATCCTTTTTCTGACTCTCTGGGATGTTTTTACTTCCATCATATGATATTTTAAGTGCCACAAGTCCAAAACTGAACTCATTATCTTTCCCTTCTAAATTCACAGTTTTATGTATTAGTTCACTATTTACCATAAACTCAGTGGCTTGAAACAACAGAAATTTCTTTCACTGTTCTGGAAGATAGAAGTCTGAAGTCAATTTCACTGGGCTGAAATCAAGGTGTGAGCAGGGGTACACTCTCTCTAGAGGCTCTAGGGGGCAGTTTCTTGATTGTTCTGGCTTCTAGGGGCTGTTTGTGTTCCTTGGCTCGTGGCTGCATCACTCCAGTCTCTGCCTCCTTGGACACATTGCCTTCTCCTGTTCTGTGTCAAATGTACTTCTGTCGTTTTTATTAGCACCACACTTTGACCAACTGAGCTAACCCGCCACGGTTGTTTTTAGTAAGTACAGTTCTGGGACCACCCAGATAATCAAGGAAAATCTTTACATCTCAAGATCATTAATCACATGTGCAAAATCACTTTTGCCATATAAGGTGGCATTCACAGTTCTAGGGGTCAGGATGTGGACATATTTGGGGACTATTATTTAGCCTTGCGCACCCCGAGCTACTATCTTAGCAAACTGCTGAGCTAGAGAAACCTAGGAGTAATCCTAGAGACTTCCCTCTGACCACTCATATCCAGTCACTCACACTGGTAATGTGTTCTGCTTAAACTTTTCAAATGCTTCTTCATCCCCACTGCTGTGCCTTAGTTCAGGCACCATCATTTCTTGCCTGGTTTTTATGGTAGCTATTGCTTATAATAGGGGCCAGCAAACTTTCTGTTAAGGACCGGATAGTAAATGGTTTCAGCTTTGCAGATCAGGAGGGTGGATCTACTCAACTCTGACACTAACATAAAAGGTGCCATGTAAATACTTAAGCAAATGGATGTACACTAGTTGTGTTCCAGCAAAACTTCAATTACTAAAACAGGTGGCTGATGGGATTTGGCCTTGAGGCCTTATCTCTCTCTAATTGGTCCTCCATATTGGTTGCTAGAATGATTTTTTCCAAGATGAAAATCCAGTTGCTTAACTCCTGATTAAAACTTTTCCTTGGCTCACAGTTACTTTCAGGAAAATGGTCAAACAAGTTAATGTCAACATGCTATAGTCCAGTGAAAGAGTAAGTTATTTGCAGTCAGGCAGACCTAGTTTAAATCTCAGTTTGGGTATTGACTTAGCAACATTTCATAATGTTCTTGAGCCTCAATTTCTTCATTAAACAGAGATTATTAACCACCAAAGGTGTTGTAAGGCTCAAATGAAGTAAAGTATATAAAGCAAGCAGTCTATGATAGGCATACCTGAAAGAACAGCTTGAAGTTTTGTGAATTGCTTGTGTTCCTTGACACTTCTCTTCTTGGTACTTGATCTTCCAACTACAGCGAGGACTCCCTCCACACAGGGGGCACCTACTTGTCCTCCAAGGTTTAAACTTCTCTTCCTGCCCTCTCCTGGTAGAGGTAGGGCTGCTGTGCTTCTGTAGCATTTTGTATATACCTTTATTATAGCACATATCACCAGGCTGTGATGATTGGTTTCTTTGTTATCTTCCACTAGACCATAAACCTCTGAAGGTCAGAGGCCATTCATGCACTCACCTGTGTTCTCCCCAGAGGCTGCTCATACAGTGCTTGTCTGTGAGTAGGTGCTCCGTTGATATTTAGATGTTGTTTGGTGCACAGTGACCTTTTCCAGATGGGTTTATTCTAGTTGATTATATTGGTCCGTTCTTTTTGTGTCTTGTTTTAAATTACTCAATTTATTAAGCTTTTGTATGCATTGACTTATCATATCTTCACAATGAACAACGCTATGAGATTGTTCCCGTTATAAAGGTGAAGAAACTTTAAGACTCAGTGAGGTTAAATATTTTGTGCAAGGTTAAATAGCAAGTGAAAGAGTTAATGAGCTCTACCTGGTATAGCTTAGTGGATTGAGTGCTGACCTGTGAACAAAAGGGTCGCCAGTTCGATTCCCAGTCAGGGCATATGCTTGCGTTGTGGGCCAGGTCCACAGTAGGGGGCGCTTGAGAGGCAACCACACATTGATTTTTTTCCCCCTCTCTAAAAATAAAATAAATAAAATCTTAAAAAAAAAAAGAAGAAGAAGAATTCTTAGTATTAAAAAAGAAAGTTAATGAAAAGTTCTAACCCAGGTAGTCTAAATCTGATGCCAGAGCTCCAAACCACTACCCTTTACTGCATTACAGTGTACAAATGTTTAAATCTTTTCACTAAGTTGAAAGAGCATTTTTTCCCCTCCTAAGTATTGTACTGTTACAGTTTTTTAAATCTTAAAAATATTTTAAGACCTTGTCAAGAAAAAAAAATGCAGAGTGAAATCCAGGTCTAGCAATACAGGAGTACATCAAAACAGATTTGTTACTCTCTAGGTAACTGAGGGGCAGACCTTCACTGTATGGCTCCCAGCATTTGTGTATAAAACTTTTATTACAATGCTGTAGTACATGGGTGGTACTCAATAGCTTCACTGAACAATTTGATTTAGAAACATTTTGAAGCAGTTTGACAGGTACTTGTCTAGGTCTAGGTACAAATAGATGGAAAAAAAACTTGTCCGTGTCCCGAGGGAAGTGGGTGGGATTGCTGCATTTTGACAAATGTGCTAAATAATATGCAGTGTTGTAGTGTTAGAGGATGGTTTAATTAGGGGGAAAAAAGGTTGTGTTATCCTGTACAGCGCCCTCTTCTGGAGAGATGAATTGGAAAAATGTGTTTCTTCTGGGCATCTGACCTCCTGGTGGTTGTAGCCTTGGGTCTGGCTTGAGGAGATGAATGTGGGTTGGATTTCAGCCCCACACCTCAGCCTTACCAGAGGCCTTTGTGTAATGTGCAAACTGTCCAGTGGTTTGGGGTAGCCATGAGTGGAACTAGTTCTTGAATGATGTGTTCTCCAGTAAAAAGAAATTGGCAAGGACAATGAAGGAGGAGGGAGCAACATGAAGAAATACAAAAAGATGTAAAAATACATGGTGTTCTCTGAGGTGGGAGCTACTCTTTGGAGTATGGTTTGTGTTCCTGGGCTGGCTTCAGATGAGGTTGGAGGAGAGGGTTGGAGGTAGACTGAATTGTTTAGGAGGTTGTTGTAGGTAGATTAATGGCCTCCTAAAGATGTCCCCAGAACCTATGAATAAGTTATGTGGCATGGGCTAATTAAAGTTGCCAATCAGTTGACCTTAGAATAGGGTGATTGATCTGGATTATCCAGTTAAGCCTAACATAATCAATCACCTAAGGATCCTTAAATGTGGAGGACGGAGACAGAAGAGTCAGTGTCACATGCTGTGAAATGAGAGAGACTTGCTCATTCATTGATTGCTGTCTGGCTTTGAAGATGGAAAAGGGGCCATATGCCAAGGAAAGTGGGCAGCCTCTAGAAACTGGAAAAAACAAGGAAATGGAAGCAAGGAAATGGATTCTCTACTGCAGTCACCAGAAAGAATGCAGGCCTGGCAACACCTTGACTTTAGCTGAGAGAGACTCATTTTGGACTTCTGTCTTGCATAGTTGTAGGTTAATAAATTTATGTTGATTTAAGCCAACTGTTTGTGGTAATTTGTTACAGCAACAATGGGACATTTATAGAGGCCATGCTCGGAGGCTCTATCTGGAAGCAGTGAGGTGTTTCAGGGGCAGGGGAGGGGCAGTTAGGAACATAACCACACTATAAATGGTCTGGAGGCCAAGAGACCAGGTAGGAGATTCTTGGCACAATCTAGATCTTGGGTCCTCTGAGAAGCAGGAGCCAAGATGGGATGAAGTGAATTGGAGATTTACTTGGCTGGGGAGGGGGTGTTGGGGGGCAGAGGAATGTCTGAAGATGAACGAGAGGGAACAGAAATAGGCGGGGGAAAGGAGAGAGGATGGAAGGAGGAACAGGTAGAGTGTCTCAGATTGCAGCACAGTTTGAAGAAAGCTTCAGGTGGCGGGGGTATCCTTGAGCCAAAGTTGTCCATGAGAGGAATTTCCCGTCCTGCTGGAATGTGTCTGTAGCCCTGGTGCTGCGGTGTTGAGCCATTGGGAGTGGGCCAGGGAAGCATGGCATTTTCAGTGGCTGACCTAGGGAGTGACTGCTGGCATTGTCAGCCAACTGTGCCCCTCGAAGTGGGAGAACTGGGTGATAAGTTTCTAAGGCCACCACATAAAAGGTGTGTTCTGGAGGGACCGATGGAGAGTTGGGGACTGAATCTCTGAGAGATGTTGAGCAACTCTTTTCACTGTTGCTGAATGACTTAAACTCTCTGCATCTGGGATTGATTTAGACTTATATAGTAATCAGCTGTGCTGTATTGGCACTCTGCATTGTAATCCAGATTTGATTTTTCTTAATCAGAATTTTGTCTGGTATAATTTGAAGCAGATTGCTTTTCTACTATTGATTACAAATAGGTGGAACATTCTAGATTTTTATGCTTTTTTTCTCTGGCTTTGGGATGTAAAAGCATTTTTCATTTTTGTGAGAAAGAAGAGTTGTAAGAAGTATACAGGCAGAGCTCAGAGACACTGCAGATTCATTCCAGACCATCACAATAAAGCGAGTTCTAATCTTGCCTGTGGAGGTCTTGCCTTCAATTTGTTAAAAACGCAACATCTGTGAAGTGCAGTAAAGCAGAGCGCAGTAAGCAGAGCGCAATACAATGAGTGTGTCTGTAATAGGAGAGCAGTTAAGGGATAATCCACCCTGTTCTTCAATCTGCCTCCTCCAATTTACTCACCACCGTTGCTAGTCTTTAACAGGTACCACCACTGAAACATCTGTTCTTTGATTTCGGAAGAATGCTACAGATATTAGAGGGCGTGTGAAGGTTGGGAAGATAGGAATGATTTTTCTAAGAAAGAGATGAAGGGAATGGGAATGAGAGTGTTATTTTGTTTGTAGGAACCATAGCCATCATCTGTTGTGGTTTTTGAGTATTCTTGGGAACACAATTGAGAGTCTCCTAGAACAGGGTCAGCAAACTTTTTCTGTAAAGGGTCAGTCAGTACAGACATATCTTGTTTTATTGTGCCTCACATGTGTTCCTTTTTTACAAATTGAAGGCAAGATTCTCCATGAACAAAAAGATTACTTCCCTTCATTGGGATACCTGCTTTATTGTAGTGTTCTAGAACTGAACCTGCAGTATCATTAAGGTGTGCCTGTAATAGGTGTGGGCTGCACGCTCTTCTGTCACAACTGCATAGACAATATGTAAATGAATGGTTGTAGCTGTGCTCCAGTAAAACTGTATTTACAGAAATAGGCATCAAATTGGATTGGACCTGTGGGACATATTTTGCTGACCCCTGTTCTAGAGCCTTAGTAAGTAAAACTGTCCTGTGTGTGTGTGTGTGTGTGTGTGTGTGTGTGTGTGTGTCTCCTTTCTAAGACTGTAGTCTATAGCTTTACACTGTCATGGTTGGTAGAGTGCTGGAACAGTTTTATTCTTTCAGACTTTCCTTCAAGGTTAATGGATTTTAGAAAGATGGGCATATTTTGTTTGAATATCCCCTTTGCCTGTACTGTATTTCTAAGAGGGATTCAAGAGTGTGTTGTCTGTCTTGCTTCTGTAAACATTCCATCCTCTGTGAAAACAGCTTTTTAGCTGTTAATAGCACATGTGCCAGGGTGGACTATATGGACTGCACCTAATTTTAGTGTCCTGTTTGGAAGATTACTTTCTAAATGAGAGAATTTTCTCCTTCTAATACTAGTACACTGATTCTGTCTTCTCTCCAATGTTATCCAGAATGATTTGTAGGGATTTAGGCAATGTTTTAATGTTTGTGATTTCAGCATTGGGGGCCAGAGAGTCATACTGTGTGGGCTGCAGTAAAAATCTTGGGAAAGGAGATGTGTAGACTGTAAAATGAAATACAAGCTGTCATCCCTTACTGCGTAGAGTGTAATTTAAATAAATGAACCTTATGAATGCAACGTTCCCCTTTTGAATCATGAATAATTTGGCAGCCGGTTCCCAAATCTGAACAGTAGTTTTTGCTTTTAGCATCTGTTTTAAAAGAATTCTCTTGAGGAGCCAGAATGAAATTCCAAAAATTTGGTTGATGCTAATAAAGAACATCAATAATACACATGGATAATGTAAAATTGAAAGATACAGTGTTAACTTACTGTGGCTTCAGAGTATGACAGAGACACTTTCCTTGTTTTTTATTAAATACTCCTCCTTCAGTATACTCCCAAATGAGTAATTGTCAGGTTGGATTTCACATGCCACTGATTTTATGGTTAAACTTTGAAAGGTTTGTGCTAACAAGATATATTTCTTCAACTAACTTAAATCTATTCTCCAAAGTATGTAAATAGAACTATTCTCATCATGGTCTGTGGTTTATAATCATTTTACCTCTTATTTCTTAAACTGATATTCCTTGAAGGATTGGCTAAAAGTAAATTTTCTTCCTAAAATTGATGTGGTGATGATTTACTGTGTTAACATTTTAGAGGTGAAAATGTTCAAAGTATTATAGTAGTATATGTGTTAAGTCGATGAAGGTTTTTTCTTTCTTTGCCCTTTGAAATTGTTACAAACTTAATATTTTTGATAACAGCTTCCTCAAGACATGCTTCCTTTCAAAAGGGATAATGGTTTTCAGTTAGATTTGATGATTGAATTTAATCCTGGAATACCAATGGTGAGCTAGGCAGCACAATGTAGACCAAAACCAAAAAAGGTTGTTATAAAGCAAATTAGTTATGTAGTATGTTATTTCGTCTTACTTGACATAGTCCCCTTTTTCTTTTCAGATAAATGTAAATGAAATTACGAGATTTTCAGATTTCCCCTTATCTAAGAAAACATTGAAAGGTAGGCAAATAATCTTGGGACATTTTGGATTTTTTGATGCTTTTTTTTGAGGGAAGGTTTTAAATGTACTTTATTTCTTCAGTCATGCCATATTTTATTGGGTATACAGTGTGTTCACTTGACATCAATTATGAGTTGGTTTTGAGACAGTCTTCCCAGCTGGTGTGATTTCTGATTTCTCCATTCCTTTGGGGTGACTCTGCCAGCAGGGGGCAGGTTCCCTTCTATTCCAATTTGTGTTGCTGTACATGTCCATCTAGCAACACAGAAAGTAGCTCCACTAGCTAATACAGCATTGCCATATTTGTCGTGGAAATCAGGTGTCCATTTCTGGTGCATCTGCCTTGGCAATATTTTCTGAATGCTTTGAACTGGGAGATGACTTAGTGCGTTATTGGCCAATGGAAACAATGTGAAGCTGAAGACAGAACTGTAACAACTGCAGCTGCTGGTTTGTTGGAACTTGGTGTCTAGGACCCTCTCAAAGAACCTTGATGCTTTTTATAAATGGCAAAAGGTTTAGAAAAGTTTAGCCTGAAAAATCTTACTATAGCGAGTAATTTTTAACATCACAAAAACCTAAAAGAAACAATATTAATTCAATTAAGGTTTACCAGTTTGTCATTATCATCTTTTCTGGACTAGTTAAAAGAACAGTAGTGAAAAAACAAGATGCTTGGGCCTCTGTATAATTAAAATGAATCCTAAGGATGTTAAAATAAAAATAAGCAAGAGAACAAGCAAATATGTGATACCTTTTTTATTGGTTTGCTTGTGCCACCACAACAATATACCACGGACTGGGTGGCTTAAACAAAGAAATTTGTCTCTCAGTTCTGGAGGCTGGAAGTTCAGAGATCAAGGTGCTGGCAGGGTTGGTTTCTTCAGAGGGTCATAGTGGTTTACAGAAGGCCTCTTCCTGGCTTACAGATGGCTACCCTCTTGCTGCCTCTTCTTGGGGTTGTCCCTTTATGCACTCACATCCCTAATGTCTCTTTGTCCAAATTTTTTCTTCTTATAAGGACACCAGTCAGATTGGATTAGAGTCCACCCACATGGGCGGTTTTTGATTCAATCACTTTTTCTTTAATTTTTATTATTGATTTTAGAGAGAGAGAAGGAGGAGGAGGGGGAGAGAAACAACGATTTGTTGTTCCACTTATTTATGCATTCATTGGTTGATTCTTACATATACCCTGACCAGGGATTGAACTCACAATTTTGGCTGGGATGACGCTCTCTAACCAACTTTTACTCATCCAGGCCCTCAATCACCTCTTTAAGGGCCCTGTCTTTGAATACAGTCACATTCTAAAGTACTGGGGATGTAAGGGCCTCAACATATAAGGAGGTGGTGCACAGTTCAGCCCGTAATTCTACAGTTTTCCTAAACTGTCATTCTCCTTCTCTTCACACTTCCAGGTTTGCAAGAAGCCCAATACCGTTTGGTAACTGAGATACAGAAGCAGACCATTGGGCTGGCTTTGCAAGGTAAAGATGTTCTTGGTGCTGCGAAAACTGGATCTGGGAAGACTTTGGCTTTCCTTGTTCCGGTAAGTAGTTTATTCTTATTGGGTCAGGTTCTTTATTATGTGATTTTAAAACATTCTTTGCCTAGCTAGAGATACTTAATTACATCAAGAGTTACTTCATTTTGAATTTTCCTGGCTAGAATGCAAGCTTTATCAGACAAGTGTGTTCTTCACCCAGGTCCTAACGTAGCACCTTCTACATGTGAGCAGTCAATTACTTATTGAATGAATTATTGTGCCTTGACAAGCAATTACATTCCTGAAGGATATGAGCTGTTCCAGGGTGGTAGTTAGAATGGTTCTGCTCTGCTGTAAGACTGGCGGGGGATGCTGTTTCTGTACTGCTCCTTACAAACCTACCAATTACATTTTATTTGCCATTTGTTTAGAATTAAGTTGAAGTATGCTCACTTTGAGAATATTGGGTTACTCCTTGAGACTTTTCTGGGACATGGATATCCGTCCTTTACAGCACTAAAACAATAGAGCCTCTTAGAAATTCACTTATATCTCAGTTAAGCATTTGGTTTCATAATTTAGTTCCTGCAAAATAATTGGCTCAGAAAGAATCACATTTAACTTTTTGTTCCAAGTATTGCAAAACCATTTTTCTCTTAAATCCTAATTTTTATAATGTGCCACTCCACAACTAGAAAATTGTCACTGTATAACTACAGTAGCTGCAAAGATGTGGGTTTATTTTAATGTGGTTTCTGTTCAGAAAATGGTGACATGTTTTTCTGAAATCTGTTTTAATGGTCTGTGGGTACACATACTTTTCATTGATTTCCAATGTCTTCATGGCATGGCTCTAGCAGCAGGCGAGCTGCTGCGGGGCTTCTTTTCACTTCCCTTTATGACTCGGTGGAGGTGCTTCTGGTGGTTGGAAGGAAAAACAAAGTAAGCAATTTCTTCTTTCTCATTGGATAATACTTGTGAGTGGTATGCCTTCTGCCTGGAAGCTGCCTGGATTGGAGGGGCGTGGTTGATTCAGGAATCAAAAAGCTGCCTTCTCTAAGGATTTACCAAACATGAATTTGCTGTCTTTTTTTCAGGTGCTGGAAGCCTTGTATCGTCTGCAGTGGACCTCAACAGATGGGCTGGGGGTTTTGATTATATCACCTACGAGAGAGCTAGCATATCAAACCTTTGAGGTTCTCCGAAAAGTAGGAAAGAATCATGACTTTTCTGCTGGTCTCATCATTGGTGGGAAGGTTTGTCCTTTTGTTCTTGTCCTTTCTTTTATTCTGTAACCTAGGTTGGAGCACTGTGGCAGTTGACTGAGAAGAGTGGGAGATTTATCTTAATAGACAGGCTGACCCCCTAGATGAGGTGGTAGCATCCTGATGTGGTTATTGTTGTTTAGAGTTTGATTGTCAATTTTGTAGGTCCAGAAAGTCAGTTTTGTCAGGGTATCTGAATTAGTCTGGCTCTTAGACTGATTTACTTTAACCACCCTGTAAATCTGTTTGTTAATGTACATGGGGAAAGTTATCCTTTCAGTATGCAGACTAATTCCTTTTAATAAGGTGCCATATTTTGCCGTGTGTAATGTATACTTTTTTTTGCCCAAATTTTTTGGGGAAAAATAAGTGTGCGCATTATACATGGGTAATACTAATTCCATATCTACACAAATGTTTTTAATTCTTTTATTTATGCTTATGTGTTAAAAGTGTAACTCTAGAAAGCAGTAATTATACCCCTATGCAAAATAATATTCTGGAATATGATAATTGGTTTTATTTCTAAATAGAAATAAATAAAAAAATTGAATTAAAAAATTAAAACAAAAGATTTTTTTCCCTGAAAGTTTGGGCCAAAAATATGGGTACACATTTATACACGGGAGCACAGTATACACGGCAAAATACGGTATCTGAGAGGTTGAATAATTGAGAACATTGCTGAGTCAGCAGCAGAAGAAAGGAAGACATAGTTTAGAGGAATTCTTATTTTAGGTCATGGTAAAGCCTGCTGCTCAAATTCTGCTCTACCTTCTAGTATACCTGGAATGTTTGTCTCTGCTAGAGTCTCCATTAGACTGTAAGGATAAATACTTAACTTTTGAATTTATATGCAAACACACACAAAAAGAAAAAAGAGCATCATAAACACTCATATACTCATGTACCTTTCACCCAGCTTTAACCATGAACATTTTGTGATTTTCATTTCAAGAAGAGAACTTCTAGAATATAGAGAGATGAGGTGTCTGTGGGCTCCCCTCCCCCTGTCCCCCCACTCCCCACTCACCCCCCCTGCCCCACCCCCGGCCCCGGGTCCATGAGGCACAGTGACTGGTGTCAGAAAGTCTGTTCATTGCCGCTGGGTCCTGGGAATTATTATGGTTTTTAAGTTGGTTCTGGCAGTTCTAAGAGAAAATCAAGACTTGGAGCATTCATATATTCAAATTCTGCATATGATTAAGAGTCTAGAGGAACTCTGAGCTCTTTAGGTTTTCACTAAGAACTTTTATTTGGCCCAGAAATTTGGATGTGCTGTAAAAATAGAAGTTACATATGTTTCTGGAGTACCTACATTGCTATGATAAAATGCCACATACAGATGGCTTTTATAGTTTTGCTATACAGGCTGCTCAGTGATGTGTCTGTGTAATCAAAAGAAGCAACTGTTTTCAGGATCTGAAACATGAAGCTGAGAGGATCAATAACATAAATATTCTGGTTTGCACACCGGGTCGGCTTCTTCAACACATGGATGAAACAATATGTTTTCATGCAACTAATCTCCAAATGTTAGGTGAGTCTAATGAATTTCTAATGAAAAAAACTCAGACTTGGGAGAGAACCCTCATAAATTTTAATGATAGAAATGTTTTATTCAATAAATATTTTGAAGAAAGACAACTTGAGAAATAACTTGACACACCTTTTTTTTTTTTTTGGTACATAGGTTTTAAACCCAGAGAGGACAGCTAGATTTAAAAAAATCAAAATTGGTTGGAATACTATAAACATTCATGTGAAATTAGATACTTCAGTATGTGAAACTGCTAAGATTTTTTTATAAATCTTTTAAGGAACCACTGATATTACCTAATGTGTATTCTTTTAAAAAAAAAATTTTTTTTATTGATCTTACAGAAAGGGGAGGGAGGAGAGAGTTATCCATGCATTCATTGATTGCTTCTTGTGTGCGCCATGACCAGGGATCGAATGCACAACCTTGGCTTGTTGGATTGATGCTCTAACCAACTGAGCTACTCAGCCAGGCCTCCTAATGTGTATGCTTTAAATCGGCTTTTATTTTGGAATCATTCTAGATTTATAGAAAAGTTGCAGTGATTGTACAGAGTCCCTCTATACTCTTCCCCTAATTTCCCCTAGTATAATATCTTTACATAGCTGTGGTACCTTTGTTAAAAATAAGAGATGTACATTATTATAATATAAATTCCAGACTTTAGTTGAATTTTACTAGTTTTTCTACTAATGTTCTTTTTCTGTTCTAGGATTCAATCCAGGGTACCACATTGCATTTAGCCTAATGTATATTTTAAATGTAATTCAACTTGCCTTTTTTCTTTTTAGTTCTTGATGAAGCAGATAGGATCTTGGATATGGGCTTTGCTGATACTATGAATGCTATTATTGAAAATCTTCCCAAGAAACGTCAGACTTTGCTTTTCTCAGCAACACAAACCAAATCTGTAAAGGACCTTGCACGCTTGAGTTTGAAAAACCCTGAGTATGTCTGGGTTCACGAAAAAGCAAAATATAGGTGTGTACTATTTGAAACCATATTTGATGCAATCAGAATCAGTGTTTTCTCTTTTTCGTGTAAGAATTTGACATTTCAAATTAATACTCCTTTTCTAGGAAAGAAAACACCATTTTATGTGTTACTAGATATGCAGAGCATAGTAAATATATTAGTGAAAAGTATTTAAATTCTCTGCATCTTTAAATGTGAGAATATGCTAATGCATATTTTACAAAATGTAGTCTGGGGAGCAAACATTTTTTCATAAGATGTTAACAGGTATTTATTCACCAAAAATCCCATGTAGAACGGCATGGTGTGGGGTAATGCATTTCTTTATAGATAAATAGCAAATACTGAGTTAAAAGTAAAACACTCTTCTTCGAGACTTCTCAGAACCTTTACTATTTTCATAGACATTGTAATTCTCCAGAGCAGTGGGAGATGAATATAGCTTCCTACATTTACCAAAATTAATTAGGTCTGGAGTCGTTTTATATAGCTGCATAGTGCAGGACTAATGTGCTATGGAACACATTTTACCAAATGCATTAATATTTAGCAAAGTACCTTTCTGCTTAAAATGTTCCAGCAACTCTTGTTTTGTCTTGGTTTCACTTAAAATGGGAGAGCTGTGTGTGTTTATGTGACAGTAAAAAGTGTAAAAGAGGGAGAGTGTGTGTGATAATGGGTTGGGGGAAATATGTTTGTTTTTTTACATTTTTATTTTTATTTTTTTAAATTTATAAATCATGTTTCTTCTATTACAGTTGTCTCAATTTTTACCCCTTTACCCCCTCCACCCATCCCACCCCCACCCCTGCTCCCACAGTCAATTCCCACTCTCTTGTCCATGTCCATGGGTCATTCATACATATTCTTTGTCTAGTCCCTTCCCCTTCTTTCCACCATTGTCCTCTTTCCCCATCCCCTCTGGTCACTTTCAGCCTGCTCCATGTTTCCGTGTCTGTGGTTTATTTTGTTCGTTAGTTTATTTTGTTGAATAAATTCCTCTTATAGGTGAGATCATACGGTATTTGTCTTTCATCAGCATGCTTATTTCACTTAGCTTAGTATTCTCCAGTTCCATCCATGTTGTCTCAAAAGGTAGGAGTTCCATTTCTCTCTTTTTTTCTTTTCTTCCCTTTCCTTTCCTTTCTCCTTTTTCCCCTTTTCCCTTTCCCCTTCCCTTCCCTAATGCAGATTGATTTTATTTATTTTTTTAATGTCAAAGTTAATTATAAAATATTAAAAAATTTAAAACCATTATAAAGTCTCAGCAGTTAAACCAACATGACACCAGCACAGAAATAATCAAGTAGATCATGAAATATAATGAGCATTCTAGAGACAAATGTATATATCTGTCTAACAATATAATATACGATTAAGTTGATATTTCAAATCAATGGGTAGATAAGGCTTATTCAACATATAAGGTGCATGGAACACTATTACTTGAAATAAAACAAATACAGAGCCCTGTTTCACACATTATATGAGAAATTTTCAGGTGACTTAAAAATCAATATGTAGAATATAAGGAGTTTTAAAAGAAAATAGAACTAATATTTTCCATGACCTGAAGTAAAATATTCAGACCCAGAAGCTATAAAGTAAATATTGACAATATGACTTATATTAAACATTTAAGACTGTGTAGGAATAAACATATAAAAAAGTTAAAGGACAAGGAATAGAATAGGAAACTATTTGCAACACATGTAAAACATGGTTAATAGGTTTTTGTTTTTTGTTTTTTTTTTTTTAGGGAAAAAAGTTCTACAAACCTTTAATCAATAAATGGATAAAGAATACCGAAAAGTCATTTAGAGCTTTTTTAAAAATAATAGAAATAGGCAAGATAAATGCGAAAACAGGTTTAGTTTCAACACGTAGTAAAGGAACAATTAAAATAACATCATTGTCACAATCAGATTAATAAGTATTAAAAATATTGGTACTATCAAGTATTGGCAACTCTGAAAGGAATTGGGTAGTCATAGAAACTTTTTCTTCATCTTAAAGCTGTGCCTTTAGCATATTTTGCAATGCTGGTTTGGTGGAGGTGTGTTCTTTTAGCCTTCTTTTGTCTGGGAAACTCCTTATTTCGCCTTCCATTTGAGAGCCTTGCTGGGTAGAGCAGTCTTGGTTGCAGGCCTTTGCTTTCCATTCCTTGGAATATTTCTTGCCACTTCCTTCTGGCTTCTAGTGTTTGACCTTGACCTAGCTCATGGTGATGTAAAGTTACAGAAAGCTAAAGAGGCAAAGCTTTATGCTTCTAGGTGATCCTAATGGATAAACTTAGGGAAATCTGAGTACTGGTAGCTTTGGTTATCAAGAACTCTGGAATGTAATAGCAAAGGACACGTGAAGTATAGTTTCTTCCTTGGCTTACTATTGATAAGACATTGGTTTCTGTAAAGTATTGAGATAAATATTGAAATTCTTGGTACAATTAATTTGATAATCTAAAGACTGTAGGTCTTTTGATTTTCTTCTTTGCTTCTTTGCTGTTTCCTTTCTGCTTTTTTTCTAAACACATTAGTGTCTTTACCAGATACTAATTTATCAATCATAAGATGGCCTCTAAAATCTTTTGTACTTTATATCAAGTTAATTGTACATATTATTTCCGTTCCCAATTTTTGTAGATAATAGTTGGTTATTTGTAGCTTTCAAAAATCTAAATGCAAAGACTATTTCATAAATGATTTTCAAAATGCTCTTCCATCATTACTAAAAAGTGTGGTTTTCCAAAAGCATTTTAGAGTCTAATTTATTAAACTGCATCTAATTTATTAAACGATCTAATTTATTAAACTGCAGGTTATTTGATAATGAGTACAGTGCTCTGTAATCTTAAAATTTCCAGAAGCTCTATAAAAAGCAGATGCTGTTTTGAATTTTGTCTAATGCCATTACTGAATTTTCCTCTTTAGCAACTTAGCAATTTGGTTAATATACCTTGAGAAACCATAGTCAGGAATATAGTCAGGAATATTTTAAGGAATTATGGAGTATTTACTCTCAAATTGTGAAGGATAAAAAAAAAGTTAAAATTTAGATCTTTCTGAAGTTGTGTTTCAGAATATACTAAGAAAGTATACCAGTGTGTTTTTTTTATACATGTATTCTATATGTGACATGGTTTTTCTACATCTCTTTAAAGAGAAAATAGTTGTCTTTGTTCTGCAGTGATTTGCTGTGTTTTACAGTGAATATAAGTTTGATTCTGTGGTGAATTATGAAACATTTTAAATTTGAGATGGAGTTTTTGAGCTTATATTTTTGGGTGCATACAAATTTAATATTTCATTTTCTGTTAATTTGAATCACTAATCATTATGAAGTATTCCTTTTTATCTTTACTAATACTTTTTGTCTTTAACTCTAGTTTGCTATTAGTCTGCCTATAGCAACTTTCTTTTGGTTAGTATTTGCTTGGTGAATCTTTTACTTTCTACATTGTATTTGTCCTTATTTTAGATTCGTCTTTGTAAGCAACATATAGTTCTATTTCTATTTTATCTGGAGGATTGACTTTGCTTACTGGAGGACTGAATTTACTTATATTTAACTTAGCCTACTCCTTTTCACTGTGCTTTCATTGTGAAGTGTTTTAATTTCATTTACTTTAAGCTCCATAAGCCATTATTATTACTGTTGGAAACATCACTATTTTTTTTAGACTTATCCAAAAACTTACTCTTTTCAGGTGTTTTTTTGTTTGTTGTATTGTGCTCAAAGAATTTCTTTATAGTTCAGGTTTACTAGTGAAAATTCTGCTTTGACTTTTCTGCAAATTATTTTATTTTTATTTTTGAAGGATATCTTGGTAGGTTTTTTTCTCTATTTAGTCCAAGGATCTCTTTCAGTTGTATGCTAACTTCCATTTTTTTGTTAAAGGCAGCTGACAGTTCTCTGAAGGTAGTGTGTGGTTTTTAAGATTTTCTTATCTTCAGTTCTTAGCAGAACCAAGAATGATGTCTTTGTGGCAAGAGATGTGGAGAGAACTTTGATCTGGGCTAGCCTGGCATTTAGACCCTGGGGCTATTCTGTTTCTGTTTTGCCTTTAGTCCTGGGGTATCCCTAACTCTGAGGCCCAGCCCTACTGGGGATCTCAACTAGAAGAGAGGGGGATTTACCAGAGCCCTTTACCTTGGCAGGCTCTGAACTTCATGACACTGTGAGACAGCCAAGGATCTCTGCTCAGCTCTGAGTTTCCCTGTTCTTACTTTTTGCATGTTTTTCACTCATTTTGTCACTCATTTGTGTGCTGAGTTTAGGAGTTGACAGACTCTTGGGAAAATTGTACGAAGAATTTTAGATTCAGTTTTTTGTGGTTCCTTCTCTAAGAGCTTGAACTGACATATTTAGTTCAAAGGCTGCTACTTTTATCTCTCATCTGTCTTGCATATCAACAGGTGCTTTCAGGGAAAAGTGGAGATTAATATGGGGCTTGCACCAGGGCATTTGCATTTTCTCTTTAGTACCTCCTAACTGCCTTGGTTACTTTCTGATGCCTACAGTTTTTGTTTTTCTTTTGTTATTTATTTATTATTTTTTTTACTTAAGATTTTTTTTATTGTTATTCTATTACAGTTGTCCCACATTTTCCCCCTTTGCCCTCCCCCTCCCAATCCACCTCCCTGCTCCCACAGTCAGTCCCCACCCTGTTGTCCATGTTCATGGATCATTCATACATGTTCTTAGACTAGTCCCTTCCCCTTCTTTCCACCATTAGCCTCTGCCTTCTCTGGTCACTGTCAGTCTGTTCCATGTTTCTGTGCTTCTAGTTGCTTTTTGCTTGTTAGTTTATTTTGTGCATTAGGTTCCTCATAGAGGTGAGATCATTTGATATTTGTCTTTCACCAACTGGCTTATCTCACTTAGCATAGTATTCTGCAATTCTGTCTGTGCTGTCACGAAAGGTAGGAGTTCCTTTTTTCTTTTTGCTGCGTTATATTCCATTGTGTAACCGTATCGCAGTTTTTTGATCCACTCCTTTACTGATGGGCACTTAGGCTGTTTTCAGCATTTGGCTGTTGTAAATAGAGCTGCCAGGAACATTGGGGTGTATAAGTTCTTTTGATTTGGTGTTTCAGAATTCTTAGGGTATATTCCCGGCAGTGGAATTGCTGAGTCAACAAAGGGGGCATGAGCATGCAATGGAGTAAAAATAGCCTCTTCAATAAATGGTGTTGGGAGAACTGGACTGGCACATGCAAAAAATGAAACTAGGCCACCAATTTAAGCCATACACCAAAATAAACTCAAAATGGATAAAAGACTTAAATATAAGTCATGACACCGTAAAAGTTCTAGAGGTAAATGTAGGCAGGAAAATTTCTGATATCCCATGAAGCAATATTTTTGCTGATATATCTCCTAGGACAAGGGAAATAAAGGAAAAAAAATAAACAAATGGGACTACATCAACTTAAAAATCTTCTGCATGGCTAAAGAAACCATCATCAAAATGAAAAGGTAGCTAGCTGTATGGGAGGAATATCTGCCAGTGATACATTGGACAAGGATTTGATCTCCAGAATATAATGAAGAACTCATCTCCCTCAACACCAGGAAGGCAATCCAATTAAAAAAAATGGATAAAGGACCTGAATAGACAGTTCTCCAAGGAGGATATATACAGGTCCCATAGACACATGCAAAGGTGTTCGACATCACTAGCCATCAGAGATATGCAAATTAAAACCACAGTGTGATACCACCTCACACTGGTCAGAATGGCCATCATAAATCAACAAACAAGTGCTGGTGAGGCTGTGGAGAAAAGGGAACTCTAGTACACTGTTGATGGGAATGCAGACTGGTGCAGCCACTGTAGAAAACAGTATGGAATTTCCTCAAAAAGCTGAAAATGGAACTGTCTTTGGTTTTATATTTAATTCAACTTTTATAGTTAATGCTCTAGGCCAAAGGATTAATCTGATGCAAATAGTCCCTCTATGAAAGGAATGATGGTTTTTGTAACCTTATAATTTTAGCAGTTCTAACTCATTAGTTCATTAGGATTTGCAAAATGGCAATTCTATTTTTTTTAACTGGAGTACATTTATATCAGAATTTTTTCTCATACCAACTACTTGATTATATGAGGTACAATTCTTTCAAGGTTAGAATACCAGAATGTATGCTTCATTCTCTTAACAGATTTTAGCCTAAAGAGTTGCTTCTGTATCATTTTCTAAAGGTGAGCAAGTGTTTAAAAAATTAAAATGAACTTGTAGACTTAATGACATTTATGATAAACTAATTACTGATATTAACTCATATATTTAAAAATACTAAATTGTCCTTCAATAGAAATTATTACTGTATTTTTAATATTCAAAGTATCTTATACCATCCCAAACTTGGTTAATGGGAAGTTCTTTAAGTTGCTACCTGGATCCTTTATACACATCCCAGTGGTTTTGACTTCCATGCTTTCTAGTGTTCTAGGTCCATGTTATGTTTCCATTCCATAAAAAATTCTTTTGGCAGGAATTGGTGTTTAGAGACCATAGTCTAGGTGCTAGGGAGATGGTCATTGTGTTCAGGCTTTTCAGTGGATAGTTTTTTTACTTTTTTTTTTAAGAGAGAATACTTTTTTAAAGATTAAAATCTTTCACTTATCCTCTTTGATTTTTACAATGGGAGGACACCCCCAGAAAACCAATTATCTTCTGGAGGATGGTGGGGCCCTTGTAGTACAGGCTTCCCCCACTAGGTGAGTGTTCTAGGAACCCACCTCAATCAGTGTAGTAGTTGGTGTTGTTGTGAGAGGCTACATTTGGCTTTAGTGTTTTCTTTGAAGACTCTTTTAACGTGTTCGCCCATGTCATTTTGGGGGATTATGAGCGCGCCTGCTCACACTGTGCTGAGTGTTTAGCAGTTTTTGATCAGAAACGTCATGATCCTTGTGTCCCACCCTCCCTATTCACCTGATCTTTTCCCGAGTGACTTTTTTTGTTCCTCTGGATGAAAAAAGTCCTTAAAGAGAAACATTTTGCTGATGAGGAAGAGGTTGGAAACAAAAAATGGCATAAGCACTGAAAGACATCAAAATCGAGTTCAAAACCTGTTTTCAGCACTAGAAAGAACATCTTAATAAGTTTATTGCATCAAATGAAGAATGCTTTGAAGGTGACTGAAGTTTAAATATGTAGGGAAAAATACACAATTTTTTATAAATACAGTTTTTTTGGGGTCTCCCCTCATATATGTGTGTGTGTGTGTGTGTGTGTGTGTGTGTGTATGTATATATATATATATATATATATATATATATATATGCATTTTTTTCTTATGCCAAACACCTTTCATAATGCATTTCAGTTATTCCATTTACCAGTATATCTAAAATTTCAGGATAACGCCAGTAATATTGCTAACAACATGATTACTTAAGAACATTTAAGATTTCTTTGCATTTCTTTTTTTCTTTAAATATCCCAGTAAGAATGTAATAATCCAAATTCCTTTGTCATTAAGCTATCAACTTGATATATCTTTAGGCTTATTTGTTTTTTAAATTCTATTAACTTGGTTCTGTATATTCCCCTATGGATAACCTATTTTTAGTTTTTGGTTTGTCTTCCCCTTTTTAAAGTATGAGCAGACACACAAGGATGCCTGTGTGCATGAATATGTATGTATATTTTGTATACCCAGCCTAGATGAAGGTACCAAATTCTATGTACTGTTCTGCTCTTAACAATATATCCTAGAGGTCACTTTACAGCAATATATGGATAGATTCTTCATTCCTTTTTTACACCTGCATGATGCTTAATTGTGTACATATATAGTAGTTTATTCTGCAAGTTCCCTAGTGATGGACATGTGGGTTGATTTTCATTTTTTTTGCTTTATAAATAATGCCATCTCTTTTTGTATGTTTATTAGTATTTTGTGGAGGACAGAATCCAAAAAGTATTCTTATTAGTTCAAAGGGTAAATGTATGTATATGTCTTTTCAACATTTTATTATGAGAAATTTCAAACAGCACAATTGGAAGAATTTTACAGTGAACATCTTACACCTAACCTACTATCTACATGCCACATAATGATAGTAGCATTCATTTAATATCCACTTTCCCAATCTGTCTAAACTGTACGTGCACTTACCTCATTTTCAGTGTATTTCAGAGTAAATTGAAGCCATCTTGTACACTTTCCCCAGGTGTTTCAGTGCGTGTATCACTAACCAGAATTCAGTATGTACAGAGATTTTCTATCTTGCTGTAATTTTTACACACAATGAAATAACAAATTAGAAGTATGTTTGCTGAGTTTTGATAAATATGTATATCTATGTAACCCAATCCCCTGTTAAGATGTGAAAGATTGCCATTAACTCGGCAAGTTCCCTCATGCCCCTTCAGTTGATCCTTGACCCTACCTTTTCAGAGGCAGCCACTGTGTGTGTGTGTGTGTGTGTGTGTGTGTGTGTGTGTGTATTTTTGATATATAATCTTTAAGGGATTTTGAATATATTTTAGTGATGTGTTGAATTTATTTCCTAAAGGACAATAGAGAAGTTCTGTTTTGGGGGAAGGGCGGGGAGGGGGGTAGCGTGGAGAAAGAGAAAGAGGGACATAGAGATAGGTAGGTAGGTGTTTGAGAGGCACGCAGCTGTTAACATTTGTGTTTTTTTCCTGGTCTGGATTTCAAAGTTACCAACATGGCATATATTTAACGTTTTTCCTCCTTTTATTTCCATAAGCACCCCTGCCACTTTGGAACAGAACTACATAGTTTGTGAGCTGCAGCAAAAAATAAGTGTACTATATTCCTTTTTGAGAAGTCACCTGAAGAAGAAGAGTATTGTATTTTTCTCCAGTTGTAAAGAGGTACTGAATATTTATATTTATTAAGTTATTCATGTTAGATCATCCTTTTAAAATGTCAAATTTAATTTAGACAAATAGCAATTTCTTTTCTATTCTAGTAAATACAAGGCCGATGTGGTGAGAGGTCTGTAGATAGAGAAGCCTGTGTCTTTGTTTTAAAGGAACTCGTGGATGAAACAATAAGCTTCATAAGGGAAGAAACTGTCTTTTTTTACTCCCATATTGTTAGTACCTAGCACAATACGTAGAACATAATAGCCCTCGGATACTAGTAGAATGAACGGTGGAATGACTAGACTAACCAGAGGTGTTTATAATCTGAGACTTACCTACCTTCCATGAATACTGAACAAAATATGCCTTTTTTTCAGATTAAAAAAAAAGATTTATTTATTTTTAGAGAGGGGAAGGGAGGGAGAAAGAGAGGGAGAGAAACGTCAATGTGTGGTTGCCTCTCTCGCACCCCCTACTGGGGACCTGGCCCTCCCCCCAGGCATGTGCTCTAGACTGGGAATCAGACTGGTGACCCTTTGGTTCTCAGGCTGGTGCTCAATCCACTGAGCCACACCAGCCACTTACTTTCATGCTTCCTTATCTTTGTTCATGCTGATCGTTGGAATGCCCTCCCTGTATCCCTTCACCCCAATTCTGGGAGACTATTTAACATTCTTTAAGGTTAAGCTCAAATGTTATACCTGGAAGTCCTCTTTTTAAAAAAAACAAAAACAAAAGGGTTTATTTATTTTCAGAGAGGGGAAGGGAGGGAGAAAGGGAGAGAAATATCGATGTGTGAGAGAAACATCAGTTGGTTGCCTCTTGCACACCCCCAGGGGTGCACACTGGCCAGGGCTGGAAGTCCTTTTTTGACACTCCCGTTCTCCTTGTTAAAAATCAACTTCCCCCCATATTCTTCTGTAGTGTTTACATCTTTTTTTAGTTAATAAACATTTCTTCTGCACTAGCCTTGTGCTAAAAATAAGGGATTCAGTGATGTATAAGAAAACTAGGTTCCCTCACTTACACAGAGGGGACAATGATTGACTTTTGTCACTTTTTCACATTTCCTGGTGACGTAGTTGTTGGCATATAGTAGGTTGATTCTAGATTTATAATTTTTGGAATAAGCATGATTTAAATATGAGAATGTGTTTCCCTTCACCTTATGAGGAAGATACGTAGTGGTCTCTCATTTTACCATGTAAGGAATGACTTCAGACTTCTATTTTAGGACCTATTTTAGATTTTTAGAATTTTACATCTGAAGAGTTGTTTTTGGTATCTATTTGTAAGGAAATAAGTTTTGAGTTTATGTTTTAAAGTTTCTACTCCATAGTACTCTACTTTCCATTTTGTCACGGTAGGTGAAGCATCTACCACCAGTCCTGGTACATGTGCTCCAGATCGTCTCTTTTGCACAAGGCCTTCATTACTGCGGATGTCTGCTGTTCTGTGTTTTCTTGTCTCCCTGTTATTCTTGAATATTGCCTGAATTAAGAATAAAAAAACAAATCTTTTGTCCCTTTCCAGTTGCTGCCTCATTTTTTCCTGCTCTTCTTCACAGCAAACTCTTAATGATTTTTCTCCATTAGCAACCTCACTGCCCCACCTTCTCTTCTCTCCTCAGCCTTCCAGAGTCAGCCCTTGTTAAGGGATACAGGTTACCAAAGTCATTGGTTAGCCATTAGTCCTTATCTTACTTGACCTCTCGGAAGCATATTAAATAGTCAACCATTCTCTCCTTGAAATAGTTCTTTAGACCTCTGAGACCACACTAGCATGCTTTTCCCTGGTCTCAGACTGCTCTGTTACCCTTCCATGCTGGTTCTCCTTTGCCTCACCACTGCAGTTAAAAGTGCCTCAAATCTCTGTACTCTGCCCTTTTCCCATTTAGACTCTTTCTAGGTAACCTCTTCAGTTCCATCGTTTTAAGTGCTATCTATATTCTGGCAGCTGCCAAGTCCACATCTTAAAGCCTGATCACTTTCTTGAGCCCCAGGCTTGTGTTATTTACTTGATTAGTAGGTATTTCCAGTTGAAGGTCTAGAGGGCAAATTTTAACATAGGGGAAACAATTTCAGATCTTCTTTCCCTAAGATCTGCTTCCTCATCTTGGTAAATGACTGAAATTTTAATTCTTATCTGTCTTTATCCATATTTAGTCTATTGATAACTCTCAACAGCTCTACCACTTTTCACTGCCCGTCATGTTACATTTTATTTGAACCATGGTTAACTTCCTTTTACTCCTGGTTGGTGTCTCCATTCCTTTGCTTTCTTTCCTATAGTTACTCCACATTAGAGGAAGAGTGATCCTTGGACAGCAAAAACTGAGTATGTCACTGCCTGCTGCAAACCTTCCTGTGACTTTTTCTATTAAATTTTGAATTAAAATTTAAACTCCTTACTTAGGCTTTATTCTGCAGACATCTACCTCATTTCCCATCTCTTTTCATGATAGTTCTTTCTAAAATTTACAAAAGAACGGCATTTGTCCATCTGTCCTTAATTCTATTGATTCATTGTCTCATGGTCAGAGAATCTTTCTGGCACCAGGGTAGCTGCTCAGAAAGTGAGCGACTGATAACAAGGTAACAAGTAATTTTGTAATTCAGGTGGTTTCCCATTCTTTACCTTCAACAAAATTTGAAGGGAAACTTAATGGGGTTATTGATAGATTATTACAAATAATTTTATTTATTATGATTTAATTTTTTTTACTTTTATTGAATTTATTGAGTGATATTGGTTGATAAAATTATATAGGTTTCAGGTGTACAATTCTGTAATACAGCATCTGTATATTGTATTGTGTGTTTACCACTCCAAGTTACATCTCCTTTCTGATTTTGAAGTATTATGAACTTTAAAGTTCATTCTAGTCCATTTCCTATATTTTTGTGAAGAGATTTTCTTAATACCTACATTAGAAAGAGAAAATAGGAATAAAATAGGAATAAAATAGGTGTAACTTCCAGATCTTACAACAATACATTTTTTATGTCTGACAGATTTTTTTAAAAAGAATTTTTGCGTTTTGTATTTTGCTTAGTTCTATACTAATAATAATTTTAGTAATAGTTTAATCCAAGAAAAAAATTTTTAATGCAGTTTATGGCCACAGAAAATTTTAAAAATGTTAAAACTGATGCATGTAATTTCGTTGTATTATAGAAGATCATGAATTTTGATAAAGTATTCACAAGACTTTAAAGCATACAACTCTAAAGATAAAATTCTGTGGGGTCCAGACATAAGAGTTCAAAGAGGAAAAGAAATGATGTTAAATTTTTTTGTTTAAGGGGAGTTTCTTCACATTGTTTTTTTAACCTTTTTTAATACTTAGGTTTTTGTTTTTTTTTTAAGAGCAGTTTTAGGCTTGTAGCAAAATTGAGGGACCCTCTTACACAATGCATAGCCTCCTCATAATTTCGACATTTTAAAAATAGTTGGTAGTGCGTATCAAATTCCTTTTATTTAGAGTCTATTTGGTACATTTAAGAAGTTTTAAGTATTTATTTTAAAATATAAATATCTAATACACCAGAAATTACATTCTTTGTTACGAATTCAATTTGGAAAAATGTCAGATATAAACTTAAAAATGTAAGGAGGGCATATTTCTTTTCAGAATTGTTTTAGAAAATAATGTAAGCAAAAACGCTTTAATACCATAACTATTACGTATCCCTTTCTCTGCTCTATAGATCTTTAGTGAAACTTGTGCTGCTTAATACATGTTTTTCTGTTCACCTTGTAAGCTTACTTTGCTGCTTCTATTCAGGTGTATTAAACTCATTTTCCTATTAATGCCTAGGTTCAATATCTGTATCGAGTATTCTGCCGGCTACGTCCTGGAATTTCTATTCTTGCTCTGCATGGTCGACAGCAGCAGATGAGAAGAATGGAAGTCTATAATGAATTTGTTCGCAAGAGAGCTGCGGTACTCTTTGCTACTGATATTGCAGCCAGGGGGCTTGGTAAGAGAACTTACGAGAAGCTATTCCATGATCATGGGAAATATAGTTTGACACAAATAATTGAGCTTTCGTATAAGAGAAAAAGAAGTGAATTGGTAACTGAGATGATTAATGTTAAGGATACATCAGTTAGGATTTTTATAATATTTTCATCTTTGTGCTTTTCTTTGTTCATCAAAATGTATCATAGAATCATGAGGAGCTGACAAGAAGGATCAAAAGTTTAAAGATCTGAAAAAAATGTGTCATGTTTTTGAAACTGGAAACTTGATAAATATTACAGTTTAAGAAAAATTGAAGTCCACCGTTTCACCAAACATTCTAGTTTTTATTTTAAAATCATAAATTAATGTTGTAAACTGTCAGAAAGCCACTATGATATTATACAACAGGTGGCTTTGTAGGGGTTGAATGAAATATGGAAGTAATTATAGGAAAATTGGAGATAAGAATAAATGAGATGAGAATAAATAGGTGGTAATTTGAATTCTTCAGTCACTTTGTTTTACTGTGCTAATTATTATGGCAAACTTTAAACACACACAAAAAGAAAAAGTCTAAGGTACTGTCATATACTACCCATTTTTCAGTAACTATCTTTTTCACGATTCCTCTTTTCCTCTACTTATTCCTCTTGGAATATTTTAAAGTATATCTCATGATATCGTATCAGTTTATTCCCATGTAATTGGAGGTAGCAGATAAGTATGCATTTTTTAAAGCTTTCTAGGCTATGTTATATCATCACTTGGCAGAATCAGCATTTTGCGTTTACATTTTTTTGACTAATTTTTTGCTAAGGGAAGTAGTGTTGTTCTATGATTGCCTCCTTTTTTGTACTTTTAGTTTTTTTCTTTGAATTAATAATTAAAATTTGTTTAGGTTTGTTTTCCAGTTCTAATGGTTCTCAAATGTTCTAGTGGTCACCCGCCTAGTTGTCTATCAGTTCAAAAACAGTCTGATTCTTTTTCTCTTGAGACTTCCTCTTTTGGGAGTCTTCTCCCTCCAGCTCTGATCTAGACTGGTTGCTCCATAAGCCTGAGGCACATTTGTCATCCCAGGACTCCTGTTCCAAGAGTTTTCATGAATTACTCTTTTTAAAAAAAAATCTCGTCCTTTAATAACTTCTTAAGAAAGGTTGCATGGGAGGTAAATTTTTTGAGTTACTGTGTATGTGTGTCTTACTCTTGAATGATGGTTGGGTTGGGAATAGAATTCTAGGTTGAAATAATTTTATATTATAGTTTTTGCAGATATTTTGTAATATTGTTTCTCCTCTACTATTTTGATACTATGGTAATTACCAGACCCAAAAACTAGTTATTTAATGTGTTAGTAAACAAGCATATCTATCTATCTATCTATCTACCTATCTATCTATCAAAAGTTTAATAAAAATGTGATATATCATTATAATTTTCCTTTCAAAGTCCTATATGTTTTACCTCATTTAAAAAAGGATCAGCCCTGACCCATGTCGCTCGGTTGGTTGGGTGTTGTTTTGCAAAGTGAAAGACTCCCAGTTTGATTCCTGGTCTGGGTACATGCCTGAGTTGCAGGTTTGTTCCCCAGCTGGGGCGTGTGCAAGAGGCAACTGATTGATGTTTTTCCCCTCATATTGATGTTTCTCTCCCTCTTTTTCTCTCTCCCTTCCTCTCTCTCTAATAATAAATAAAGAAAATGAAAAAAAACATTAAAAGGGTTCATAGGCTTCAGCTATGGTACAAAAAAATGTCAAGAATTTGTTCTGGTTTATTTTTAAAAGTTTATATGAATGATCAGAAGCAACATACAGTAATTTCTTGGGTGTTTAAGAAATTTACATAAATGATATTATGTGTTAGTCTATGACTTGCTTTTGAAGTCTTGCCGGGTTGATGTGTAAAGGTACAATGTATTTTGTAGAGTATGTCATAGCATTAGTTTATTTATTTTTAAATCCTTGCTGGAGAATATATTTGTTGATTTTTTTTAGAGAGAGAGGCAGAGAAGGAGGGAGGCAAGGGGAGACATGGCGGGGGTGGGGAGCGGAGAAAGGAGGAGGGAGGGAAGGAGAGAGGAAGGAAAGTAGAAACAGAAACATTGATTAGTTGCCTCCCATACAAACCTTAACCGTGGATCAAACCTACAACCTTAGGTGTATGGGATGATACTCCAGCTGATTGAGCCACTCGGCCAAGGCATAGCATGAATTTATATATTCATTCCTGGAGTAAAGGATGTTCGAATTTGTCTTTTTGTTCCAAAACTGTGCACTGGATATTCTGAAGCTCTATTCTTACGTAAATTTTTAAGAATTTCTTTAGAATATATGAGTATCTTTTTAAAATTTTATTTTATTCTTAAGTTTTTCTCTATTTTATTTTTTTAATGAGCAACATATGTATATAGGTGAAAATGAGTGATGAGACAGAGTAATCCTTACTCTACCCCTCCTCACACTTCATAAGCAACTACATAAACCTGCTATTTCTTTTTTTGATATTCATTTTTTTATATTTCTATGTAATAGTCTTATCCCACCATTTTTTAATTTATCAAGTTTAGAAATTATCCAAAGATTTCCTTTTTTCACTTTTCTAATTACCTGGCTGCTCCCATTTCCCCCCTCCCCTCCCCTCCTCAGCCCTTTTACTAGGGTGGAAGTAATTTGAAAACCTCATAGCAGGTTTTGCTAGGACATTGGGAGAGGGACTTAATTTGAATGGAGATGGGAACAGCAAGAAAAATAAACCTTTATTTAAATTTAGAAACCAGTTATATATAAATTCAGTAGGAGCCCATGTGAAGTGGTTCTTTTAGGTTATTAAATATCAGGATATTTCATTATTTGTCTAACACAAAGCTCTCTGTCACTGCTGTGTCAGATAAGAAATAATCTTCACATTAAAACACATTAATTTGAGCTCGCTTTTTCAAAGAAGTGTTTATTATCTTGGTTCATGCAATTAATTATTTTTAATAGAGTTCATAGGTGTTATCTATCAGTTTGATGTGACACAAAGTCCTGGCAAGCATTATTGTAAAATAAAAATAGTGCAGCAGGGCAGATCTTGAAACTGATTTGCTAACTTGACATTCCTTCTCTACAGATTTCCCAGCTGTGAATTGGGTTCTTCAGTTTGATTGTCCAGAAGATGCCAACACATATATTCACAGAGCAGGTAGAACTGCCAGGTAGGTGTGCTTGTCCATTTCTTTGCTTGTGGTGCTATCTAAATAAAAAACCATGCTTCTAGAACTGCAGACAAAGAATGGAGGAATTCAGGTAAGTGAGTACTGGTTTGACATTTTTGTGGTGTAGTTTGGTCAGCTGTTGTAAGTCATTAAAGCTGGGACTTGATGGTTACTGCTGAGAAAAATCCATGAAAGTCTTATTTTAGTGTTTTTGTTCTAACTTTACTTGCTAGGCTTTTTATAAGAACTGCTTACTGAGCATCATCTCACTGAATCCTAACGACCCCTAAGAGGTATAGGAATGTTGTATTTGGTACCTATTTTCAGATACAGAAACTGAGTTTTTTTTTTTTTCCCCCTTTCTTTTATTTCCTCCTCCCTCTCCCTCCCTCAATCCTTCCCCACTTTGGTTTCGTCCATGAAGAAACTGAGTTTTTGAGCAGTTAAATTGTTTGAAAATCCAAAGAGCCAAGGTTTGAATCCAGGCAGTCTGATTCCTCTAGTCCAGATCTGTACTCTTCCCTTCTGTGTTTTGAGCTCTAAGAGGGATGGTGGTTTTGAATCTCAGGTTCCTCTCTTCCCTTTTTCTTTTTATTTTTTCTGATGTGGAAATTAAAGACATTGCTCGAGGCTACTCTGAAACACTCTCTTTTCTTTATATATCCCCACCCAATAAAAGCACTATATATATATGCATGCCAGCAAACTGTGGGGAAAGTATCTGGAAAAGAATATAGCAAAGTCTGAATCGTTTGGGAGTAAATGGCATAGAAAGGTATCTGAATGAATGAAAACAATAACAAATGTCATTGTTATTGAGGTTGCAGTGAAGTTGGAAGATGTATGCTGCTGGTAGAATTGTAAATGGTTAGCTTTCTGGATAACATTTTGTAATTTTTTTTTTGATTGTACACTTTTTTTTTAGTATATATTTTATTGATTATGCTATTACAGTTGTCCCTTTTTTTTCTTCCCCTTTATTCCCCTCTACTCTGCACCCTCCTCTCCCACCAGTATTCTGCCTCCCCCTCCACCCCCCTTAGTTCATGTCCATGGGTTGTGCATGTAAGTTCTTTGGCTTCTCTATTTCCTATACTATTCTTACCCTCCCCCTGCCTATTTTGTACCTACTATTTATGCTGCTTATTCCTTGTACCTTTTACCCCATTCTTCCCCCGCTTCCCTCTAATCTCCATTTCTGTGATTCCGTCCCTGTTCTAGTTGTTTGCTTAGTTTGTTTTTGTTTGTTTTTTAGGTTCAGTTGTTGATAGTTGTGAGTTTGTTGTCATTTTACTGTTCATAGTTTTTGATCATCCTCTTTTTCTTAGATAGGTCCCTTTAACATTTCAGATAATAAGGACTTGGTGATGATGAACTCCTTTAACTTGACCTTTTCTGGGAAGCACTTCATCTGCCCTTCCATTCTAAAAGATAGCTTGGCTGGATAGAGTAACCTTGTATGTAGGTCCTTGCCTTTCATGACTTTGAAACCTTCTTGCCAGCCCCTTCTTTCCTGTAAGGTTTCTTTTGAGAAATCACCTGATAGTCTTATGGGAACTCCTTTGTAGGTAACTGCCTCCTTTTCTCTCGCTGCTTTCAAGATTCTCTCCTTATCTTTAATCTTGGGTAATGTGGTTATAATGTGCCTTGGTGTGTGCTTCCTTGGGTCCAACTTCTTTGGGATTCTCTGAGCTTTCTGGACACCCTGGAAGTCTATTTCGTTGGCCAGATTGGGGAAGTTCTCCTTCATTATTTGTTCAAGTAAGTTTTCAATTTCTTGCTCTTCCTCTTCTCCTTCTGGCACCCCTACAATTCAGATGTTGGAATGTTTTAAGTTGTCCCAGAGGTTCCTAAGCCCCTCCTCATTTTTTTGAATCCTTGTTTCTTCATTCTGTTCTGGTTGAATGTTTATCTCTTCCTTTTGCTCCCAATTGGTGGTTTGAGTCCCGGTTTTCTTCCCTTTACTCTTAGTTCCCTGTATATTTTTCTTTATTTCACTTTGCATAGCCTTCACTTTTTCCTCCATTTTGTTACCGTACTCAGCCAATTCAGTGAGCATTCAGATTATCAGTGTTTTAAACTGTGTACCTGATAGGTTGGCTGTCTGTTCATCGTTTTGTTCTATTTTTGGAGCTTTGATCTGTTCTTTCATTCGGGCCATATTTCTTTGTCTCAGTGCACCTGTTAGGTTGGAAGAGCCAGAGACTTAGGTATTCACCAGGGTGGGCAACCCAGGTCACTGTGTTGTGACACTGTGTGGGGGGGAGGGTCTGAGAGGGAACAGTGCTGCTTGCTCGGCTCTCAGCAGGCTTTTGGTCACTTCTCCCGCTTCCGACCAGCAAACTGGGCTTTTCTAGTGCTTAGTCCCAGGTGGGTGGGTTTGTGTATGTTTTGGGACCGCGTGGGTCCCTCCACCGAGCTCTCCTGTGAGACTGGGAGTTTTTCCCACTGACACAACCCCCACAGATTTTTACCTCCAGAGATTATGAGGCTTTCTTTTCCCACACTGGAACCCTGGATTACATGGTCTCTCTTACTCCCCAGCTGTTCCTCTTGGTTTATCCGCACGCAAATGTGGGACCACACAGTCTGCCCGCCACCGCATTGGCTGCCCAGTCCTCTAGCCGCTGCCTTGCTGGGTGGCCTCTCCGCCCCAGCTGCCTCTCTCCACCACTCCTACCAGTCTGGATGAATGTTTCTTCTTTAGCCCCTTGGTTGTTGGACCTCCTTACAGTTCGATTTTCTGGCAGTTCTGGTTATTTTTTGTTTTTAAATTTGTTGACCTTCTTTTGGTTGTGCGAGAAGGCAAAATGTATCTACCTATGTATTCATCTTGGCTGGAAGTAGCATTTTGTAATTCTTATCAAAAGTCTTAGAGGCCTTCCTTTTGACTCAGTAACTCCACATCCAGAAATTGATCTTAAAAAATAAAGGGATAGGAAAAGTTTCAGTAAAGATGTTCATCTTTCCAATATTTGCAGTGGTTAAAAGAGTTGGAAACACCCTAAATAATAATAATCACTATAGGGTTATGATTAATTATGATTAGCCACAGATGGACTATTACTTTGGTTTTCCATTTTGATACCACTTTCTTTCTCATCAAAACTGGATGACTGCGTATTTATAATAAGGGATATCTATGAAACACTGATGTTTAATGATTGAAGACACACTACCTGGAACAAAAAGCACCTACTTATGTTTAATGATTTTCCAGGATGGCCAGATTTTTAGACTATAGATTTAAATTCTCATGCGTGCAGAGACTCATTCTCCAGCAGGTTTGCTCTTCCATTTTCCTGCATCTCTTTCGGCAAGTGGCCCAGGTGTCCTCTGTCCCTTATTTACCTCCTGAAGTCCCTTTGGTGTTTAGTTCTTTTAAATATCTTTGTGTCCACATTTCTCGGATGGCTTTAAAGCCATTTTTTTCTTTTTGTTTGTGTCTAGTGAATTCTCTTCTTGTTTGTGTCAGCTTAAGTGAAGGTTTTTCATATCCTTCTATAGCCTAAGAAGAAGGTAGAGCTCTTTCTCTTTGTTTTCTAATTATCATAAAATGGTTGAATGTTTAAACATTTTTGAATTGATTTACTTTAAGCCCATAGGCTGTTAAACCAGGGAGATAAAGTGTACTCACTTAAGTGCTTTTCTTTAGAGCAACATGAGAAGAGAGAGTAGTACAATAGTGAAAGATAAAAACTTTAAAAAATAGGATATATATACTAGAGGGTTCAAAAATAAGTCTTTTTTTTATTGCGGTTACATAATTTGAATAAGGAATGGGCTTAGAACTGGCTTGTGTATGATGTCTTTCTACATTCAGACAAACTTGCTTTTGGAATGATGACATTTTGATTTTAATGGGACCTAAGTAAATGAGACCTAGGTAGAATAGCAGCCTTGTTTTCCATTTTATGAGAAGGTACATGGTGTGTCAGTGGTTTTTGATATCTTGGATACATGTTCAGATTATCTTTCATAGTGAGATAGTCAGAAGTTCTTAGTTGTGGTTGTTAGAATGAATGTTCTTCCATTGTTTAATTCTCTTCAACAAATGTGTAATATGTATGAATTTGTACAGGTACCGATGTACAGACTTTGCACATTGTGGAACTGTGGGCCCCTAGGTAGATAAAGTTGGATCAAGTCTCTCACTGGCACATTGGACCGGGGGAATACAGGCTTTTAGATGTGCCACTGGTGTTGCCATGAGTGGATAAACTGATTCCTTTATAGAATACATTTAGTAGTATTTAAAATTATTCTTCCTATATGAAGATTATTGAACATCTTAGTGTTTCAGGAAGATGTCCATGAGGGAAAATATTTCAGAGTTTTTGTTTCTTGGAGAAATTGTTAAAAATGTTAATGTAGTTCAGCTCTGGCTGGCGTGGCTCAGTTGGTTGGAGTGTTGTCCTATAACTGAATGGTTGCAGGTTTGATTCCTAGTTGGGGCGAATACCTAGGTTGTACGCTTGATCCTTGATTCCTGATCCTAATCTACATTTTTCTCTCACATTGATGTTTGTCCCTCACCTTTTCTCCTTCTCTAAAAGCAATCAAAAAATGTCCTGGGGCGAGGATAAAAAATTTTTTAAAAAAAGTTATGTAGTTGAACATGCCATGAAATTGGTCTTAGTGGCTGGAGATGAAGAGGAGGTAGAACAGCATCACAATTGTGTTTTAAGAGAGAGAATACTAATTTGAAAAACTATTGTAATGCAATTTCTAATGTAGCCATTAATTTTTAAATAACAAGCCTGTTTGACCCTTCATAACCAATTAAAAACACTTTGAATTGACACTTCAGATGTATAGTGAATGGAATGGTTTAGGATCTGTAATGTGTATTTTTTTCCTTTGTCAATTTAGTAAAAAATGACTAAACTGCAGTTCTTAAAGTTACCATTAATGGGTTTAGAGGTAATTAGAAAGTTTTGTGTGCCAAGAGCCTGGATAATTGAATTGAATAAAGGCTAAATTAAAATTTGAAACTAATT